TCCCGGTGTCTTTAAGCGGTGGTTAAAGTTAAATGTTAACCCCAGAGGCGCTGGAGCGTTGTGAGCTGCTGGGAGAGGCGTGAGGCTCCCTTGGCCTTTCCGCTGGCCCAGTGTGGTGCCCGGCAGAACCGTGTCCTACTGGGTCTGGTGGTGCCTGGACGGAAGCGCGCTTCGGCCGTTGGCGTCCGCTGCAGCTTTGTCGCACCGTGCCGCTAAAAATAGTGTGATAGCAACTCTATGTTAGGGTTATAATGGGTTTATGTTCTCTGTAAAGATGCTAAATGCAGCCCAGGTAGAGTAATTTAGGGTTTCTGTGTTGCAACATCGGTGACAAATTTGCCTTTGCTCTTTGTGTCATACTTTACTCTGCGGGGAGGAAGGGTTGGTGGTTTTTTTCATTCTGTGTTTTTTGGCTTAAGCTGGGTTTAACTTTTATAGAGACAATGACGTAAATTAGAGTCCAAAGCTCAGCATATGTATCCACATGTTATTTAGTTTGTTACATAGCATTTTTTGTGGGACAAAGGCTAACCCTCTGGAACACAAACCTTACTGTTTTTTAGAAAAGAACATTGAGTTTGGTTTGGTTTTGTTATTTTCTTTTTTTTAAGGACTGAGTATCATCACTTCTTGAGAGCAGATCATCTGTTTGCACTCTTTGGATAGATAGCCAATACCATAAACATATGATGTATCATTGAACTTGAGATTTATAGTATTCTTGGAAAATCATCATATACTAACTTATCAAACTTGCCAGTGCCAACTACTGTAGGTATGCAGTACCATTGTAAAGCAATGGCTGTCATACTGGTGATGACTCTTGGACTAGTCAATACGTCATTCTTTTTTTTCTAACAGAAAACACATATAAAGCAACTGTGCAAAGATCACATCACAAACCTCTGAAACGGTTGAACCATTGCACCAAGGATGATATTATTGCAGATTCTACGTATGCCTAAAATTTACTTTAACAGGGATAGTGTGATTTTACTTTCATACTGATGCTCTGTAATCGTATTTTTTCTAGTGTAGTTCAAATACTTGTTTGTTGAGGAGGGAAGATGGTTTTACCTGCTGTAGTCCTTTCAGGTCTTGGGTCTCATAGGCCTTACCTCCTTAAGTGGGACCTAGGAGGACAGTGCAGGTGAAAAACAAAGTGTTTGTATATAGTTAAATAGTTCTCAGTTGGTGTGTGCCCTTGGAAAGCAGTGTTTGACAAATGTAAAACTGGTTTGACAAACTCTGTAACTAGTGCTGCTGCCAAGAGAAGCAGCCCCATTGCTATCTGCCCTGCTACATCATAACTTTGCAGGCACAGGTAACTGGTGGGAATTCATTCAGCTGAAACATTCTTTCCCTGGCTCCGACTCTTTCTTATACATTTAATGAATTTTTAAAAACATCTTTTTCCTCAGCATATCACTGGTTTTTTTTTAAGGTGTTTGTTTGTTTTAACACCACAGCTTCTGTTGACCTTGTCTTTTTTGTATAGCTAATGCTTGAGCTAGTGATTGTGCTTTTCTTCAGGGACTTCTGTGGTATTAATATTGATAGAACTGAGTCTCTCAAAAGTTCTCTCGAAATGATTGTAATACTGTCTAAGGTCACACATTGAAATCTGTGATGTGGCATGTATGTTGCAGGTTTTTTGTTAGCATTAGAACAAGCAGTTGAGGTTCTGACAGAAGCTTTGCCAAAAGAAAAAAAAGGCTATAAAATAATTCTTATTTATAATTGGTATTTCTTAATACAATAGCTGCTTTCCATGTTGCTGAATTAAGTGTTTTCACTGGCTACTATCTTTGACAGTGAAAAAGAAGAACTGAGGAGAAAACAAACTATGAAAGTATTGGTTATTGGCCTTGGAGGGTAAGTATTACAAATCAGATTTCTTCTACAACTGGTATTCCTTTCAGAATGATGTCATTTCTATTTATGAATGGGTACTTTCTGAAAATAATTACAAATACAACATGTAATTGTCTCATTTTATCACATGTAACTCTTCAGAAATTGTTTCTGTCTCTGTTAGAGATCTCTCGTGCCACCTCTCTGTAACATCTTTCTTCGTACTGCGAGATCTATTATCTGAAAGCTGTTGGAACCTGGCAGAAAATTTCTAGATGTAGAGACTATGTAATGTGAATAAACTTCTTGGGAATTTTGGATTGTATCTTTGTGGTTTACATTAACTATATAGAAAAGTGTGTATGAGATTGTACATATGTTTAAAAGGTAAATTTTTGTCTTGATGCAATTTTTCCTATGTTTTCTAATTCAGGGTAACAAATGGGGGGAAAACAACTCTGGCAGAAAAGCTTAAGAAAATGCTTCCCAACTGTGATATAATCTCTCAAGATGACTTCTTTAAGGTAACAGTATGGATGGAAAGACCTGATAGGTAAAAGTGGGCTTGAGTAGATTTTAGTATCATTTCTTCTCTTTTCAGTTCTCATATTAATAAACTTTTAAAACTGATGCTGCTTAAAATAATGGTAGCCTCATGAGAAAGGGAAATAAAATAAGTACTTGGTGAAATTGAACTTTCAATGGCCAAAACCACTGAGTATACTCAGCAAAAAGAAGTTTACTGTCATGTTTGATACCCTTTTAAAATAAGGAATGGGTGTATGTTGGTTGCATTTTTCAAGATATTTTGTGCTAATGAAATTAATGATACTGTTTTGTTAACCCTATACCCATACAGCGATAGGTAGTTCTTGTTTTTTTCAACCAGAACAGAAAAACAACTTTTGCATTGTTTGTTAAGGAGGGTGGAGAAGTTCTTAGTTCTGAAGTAAAGCTATAATGAACTTACTTGGTTTTGAAGAATAAGGATTTGGAGAATTTGTTTTAGATTAAATGAAGTGTTTGTATTGTCTTCTAATAGTTGTATACAGCAGTTTAATTTTGAAGATATATTTAATCAATTGGGATTACGTTTGTAACTGAATAGTATGCATCTATGTAAGTGGTCGTAAAAGCAGCCTTGAAAATACTCTTTTTTTTTTTTTTTCCCCCCCTTCAGCCAGAGTCTGAAGTAGAAACAGACGAACGTGGATTTAAGCTATATGATGGTCAGTAACTTTGATGCATCGCTTTTGAACATTTGACTGAAACTCTGTTGTTGCTGAGCTTCAACACTTCTTCCCCTCCATTCCATGCCCCTCTTCCCTTCTGAACAAGGCATTAAACAAATGGTTGTTGAAGAGCAATCTGTTGCTCAGTTTCTCTCAGGTCACTGAAATAAATAACAAAACTTGCTGAACTAGTAAATAGCTCAAGCTAATACTTGATCTTTCATTTTTTGTTTTTAATCTTTTCCTCCATTTCTACAGTTGCATCAGATGTGGTAGCAAATGGTAGTGTTCCGTTGAAAGTCTTGGCTTGCAGCACTGACATAAGGTTATCCTCATCACTTTCTGTGTAATGATGGATTTTTTTTTTTCACTTTGATAATGAACTCATGGGGTATCACAATTGAGTCCCTTTCATTGTCATATTCCAAATAGGTCAAAACTTGTGTCTGATCCTGTCACTTCATGTGAGATCTCACATAGAGACAATATTTTGAAGCTCATAGTTAATGCTGGCTCAATGTGACAATTCAGTCTTAAACTTCTAGATCCGGATCCACCTTAGGCCAATGCTTTTGTTCAGGTCATACCGAGTTGTGAACAGTTGATTATTAGTTAATCTCTGTTGATACGTGGCAATCATAAAATGTATCACTTGGGAACATTGGCCAGAACCTTAAATTGTATCTGAAAACTGACTCTCATCAGCTGTGCAGTCTTTGGCTCAGCTTCTAAACTTGATGAAGCCGGTGGGATAAGTTGGACATTCTGGTTCAAATATCTGGGTTTAAAATTGCTCTTAAGAGCAAACACATTTTAAAGGTGCTTTTATGTTATCCAAAGGCTGCCTCTCTCTACGATACAATGCCTATTCCATATGATCTTACATGTCTACGACAAAAACAGGTGCTACATTGTGCTGTTTTGCTTTGTTTGCCATCCTCCTTTCAATACAATCCAGCCATCCATCCTTACCTTCAAAACACCTGAAACCCAATAAAAACCCAAAGCAAAAATTTGAGTGTCACCTCCGTTCACCTGTGTCAGTGACAATTGACAGAAGGGTGGAGTACTCATGGTAAATTAGTCTTTATGAGTCTTGTGGGATAGGTGAACAGTCCCTGCAGTTTCTGTTGTCAAGGGAAAGGCTGTGAAGTGAGTTCACACATGTTTTTGGAGCCACAGAGTTCAGAGAGACCACACTCACTAAAAATACCCCAATCCTGGGGAAAGCTTTAGTTTCAGAGTATCATCAGTTGCAAACATGGAACTACTTACATGTGTGAGAGAATTCTTGGGATAATCCCATTCCCTTTCATTTAGACTTTTGTCTGTAGAGTATTTGATTCTTACTGATTAACCTAGGGGTACTTAAGGGGGTTGTTTTTTTGGTTTTTTTGTTCTCTGGTTTTAAGGTGTGACTAACTTTTTGTTTCATCTAGTACTTGATGCCCTCTATATGGATGAAATGGTGAAAAGTATTTGCAATTGGATGAAAAGCCCAGCAAACTCAGGTGTTGTGACAGAAGAGCAGCAGAATACATGTGACACTGTGAAAAATACAGAAGATGTTTATATTTTGATTGTTGAAGGCTTTCTGCTATACAACTATGAGTAAGCAGTAATATGTAACCTGGTATATTAAAAGCTGCCCTAAAAAGGAAGAGGAAACTAAATATATTATTATCTTAGGCCGCTTAATGAATTATGGAATAGAAGATATTTTTTGACCCTTCCTTATGAAGAGTGCAAAAGGAGAAGGAGGTAAGATTATTCGGTTATTGCTCAAAGAGGGTCACTGCACCACCTTACCCGGAGTGGTTCTTTCATACTAGGTTTTCTACAGTGCTTTCCAAATGTAAACTATTAAGATTATCTGTCCTTTGTGATTCCCAGGGAAGACTCTGTGGCTATTTAACCAACATTAACAAAAGCATGCGGATATGCTGGGGGGGATGCGGAGCTTGCATTTTAGAGCACAGGGATATTAAAATGTTTTTACAAACACTGAAAAGTCGATTTGTTGTACAAACAATTATTTAAATTACTGACTGCATATTGGAGTTAAACCATGTTTAAAACGAGAAACAGTTAAAAAAATATGAAGCAGTCTTATCCTTGGTTGAATACAGCTACACGATGATTATTGTTAAAGTAGCAGTGTTCATGTGTGGTTTTAGTGTATGCTTCGTTTAGTTTGTAGAGTATATCCGATTTGGATTATTGAGCCAGTGTCTATGACTTGCTTCCAAATTTGGAGCAATATTGTGTGCTTGGAGCAATACATGTGCAGGAAGTCAGAATCTGCTGGCTGAGCGAGGAAATCTTCTATTCAGCTGGCTTTGGTTCATTCCACTTTCATGGTTTCTCACCTTTAAAGGGCTTTAATGTCCAGGCTGAAATGACTAAACAAAACCGCTAGTCATTTAAAACTTGAGAAATCTGTATATCCAATAAAAAAGGAAAAAAAAAAAAAAGAGTAGTTTACTTTGGTGATACTTTCAATATGGCTTATTTATATGTAATACCTCTTTCAATTTAAAAAAAAATCCTTTTAATATAATCTGTGATATGAACTCTTGCTAACTTAGCTATTTCTGCTAATGAACTTAAAATCAAGATGAGGTAAAAATAAAAAAAAGGAGCTTCCTTTGCTCAAACAGTTATGCAGCCTGCCAGCCTGTTTTTATTTTTGATAGATGCTCTTATTAAACCAGCTGACATTACAGGAAAAATGTAAAACTTTCATGGGAAAGCAAATATATTTCTGTATAGCACCAGAGTCTATCAGCCAGCAGATACACCGGGGTACTTCGATGGACACGTGTGGCCTATGTATCTGAAATATAAAAATGAATTGGAAGAGAATGCAAGTAACATTGGTATGGTATCCTTAATTTTAAACTTACAAAATGCTTAAGCATAGCACTTAGTTTTTGTTGGGTTGCGGGGTTTTTTTGTGGGGGACAATTTTCTTCAAATATTTTTATGGCTCTTGGACAATAGGTGGGGACCTTTTGTTTGTTTATTTTTCAAGTCTATAGGGTTTTATTTTTTAAATAATGAAAATTATAAAGTTAGAAATGTTCTGATCACTAATTTAAAGTCCATTTAACAAACTAGTTTGGGTGTGCATACATGCATATGACTAAATAAAAAGCTTCTGAGATGATAGCTGATGCACTGGCAGAATTCTTCAGAACAGAATTAAAATGCTGGCTGAAGTCCTGCAATAAGCTGAAGATACTTCCTAAATGCTTTTTGTACGCACTACAGTCACCAGTCCTGCATGAGAAGTGTCAAAGCTGAGCCAGCGGCCATGAGCTTGTGTCATCTTCACACTTGTACAGATCTTGGACTACCTGCTTCTGGAGTGGGGGCCAGAGGCAAGAGAAGTCAGGTGGCTGCTTCCTCAGCACAAAGGCTAGGGCACTGCTTCTGGCTGTGCAGTGAGGGTGGGAACCACAATGCCCTTCCTTGACTTGCTCAAACCCTGAAGCTGAGGAAGAACCTGACATCTTCCACTGCATAGGAATCTTTCTGCTGAATTATTCCATTGCTCTACTGTCCCAATGTTAACACTACCCTTATGGAGACTTTTATACTACAAAACCTTGTAAGTTAATTCTTAACTAGAATACTTTTCCACTATGTTGTCTTTTTAACCTGTAAAATGAATTTGGGAAAGAAGAAAATGGAGTTACTGTTCTTGCTTTTCATTTTTTTCATCTCTTGTTATTGCACCCATAGGAATACTGAAAACTTTGCCAATGGCTGTTACAGATAACTGGCATAGAACTCATGAAAACATTTTCTTTTGTCTTTCTTAGTTTATTTGGATGGAGCGAAATCACAAGAAGAGCTTTTATCCTGTGTGTATAGTGATATAATACAGGAATTAAAAAAGCTGAGGGAAGGAAGTAAGTAATTTTACTGGAATCTGCGTATCCCATTCCAAGTTAACAAGAAACTAATCCTCTTACATGAAAATACTGCAAGGGTTAGAGAGATCAGTATCTCTCCATATATATGTATTACAGTCCTTAGACATGTTTGCCCATTACTGTAAGTCATCATAAACTGTAACTTTAAGTTCCTTGAAATTGGATGTTCTGAAGTAATAGATGAATCCACTGTTATCTAATGATAAAATATTTTTTTTAAAAAGGGAACAGAAGGAATACGGGGCAAAACATCAGTAAAAGCAGACGTGTTAGTGGTATTAGTTTCTAATACACAGTGATGTCATGTGCAAACAGAAATTACCCTACAGGTTAACTATGTACTTTTAATTTGTTTTAGATCAGCAGGACACAGCATGATAATGTAGAAAGCCTGGGTTCCATGGGTTATGAATTGAAAACCCCAAACCTGTCATACTTGGCAAGCCAGACAACTGAGCAGATGTTATATGTGCGTCCATAGTGCTAGTTCATACAATGCAAGTGGATTTCTAGTGACTACAGTTACCAACAGTTAACTCTGTAAGCCTTAGATATTGTTGAGCAGCACATTAATCTTTAGAATTTCTTCAGTCGATCATGCTTTGGCTGATGTGTAAATCTGATTGAATGCATACATTTTAAAGTATATAAACATTTTTGTGTACAAAACAACTATAAAGATGCAGTTCTGTTGGATTAATAAGCATATTTGAAATGTTCATATAGGAATGACAGTGAGTACCTCTAGTATTTTTACAAGTTTCTAATCACTGATGAATATGGTTAGAGGAACTAGCTATATGCCCTAGCAATTGTAAGTTTAAGATTGTATAAACTGTTACACTTTTTATTCAGTAACTGAAGCTGTTGCTGAATATATCATAACTGAACTTACTTAGACTCGCTAAATACCTCTGTGGTGTTTTGACAAGTAATTTCTATGTTGTGTATTGTTTGGAACAGTTGGGAATGGGAATTATAAAAAACCCAAACAAACGTGAAGAGTAGTCAGATTGTTGGAAAAAGATTGGGGAATAAGAGGTTGGAGAGAATGCAGGTGCATTGCTAACAAGATTAATTACAAGTATGGTGGAAAGATTGATTATTGGGATGGCATAAACAACAAATGCATGCTTCAGGGAGGAGGAAGGAAGAAATAATTCTTGTTAATTTCTGTAGCTGAGTTTGAAATTATACTAATTGAAGTATTCAGAGCAGGTATGCTAAATGTATGTTAAAACTTTGTTATACAATTTGTGTATAGATTTAGATAAACTAGGAAACTGGGAAGTTGAATCATGTTCAGTTGCTGAATAAGTAATGTGTTAACTCTTAAATTTTCTATGCAATTTCTTACATTTTTATCAACCAGAATAAAAATCAAGCTACAGACATGAAAAACAAAGGATGGACTATGTGCTTACTATGTGTCAGCTGAACTGATCGTGGTGATTGAACTGTAATGCTTTATTGTTAACAGTGTTGAGAGTCCTAAGCCTATGTATAAGAAAAAGATCTTAAACAGATTAGAGCTGAGTGAAGCAGTGTTTAAGACAAAGTACTATCAAATACTGTTTTGTATTATTATTTTGCGGTAAGAATATTTCAAGTTGCATTTGCTTAAATGCAGTGATGGACTGTCTGACTTTAAACTGGTTTTGTTTTTCTTTCTTTTTTTGTTTTTATTACTTTTTTTGTTTTTATTTGGAAGAGGTGTAACTGTAACAAATTAGCGAATACTTGGATGGTTGCAGGCTTGAGCTTAGCTAGCCACCAGGTGCCCACCAAGCCGCTGTATCACTACCCTTCCTCAACTGGACAGGGGGATAAAGAATGATGAAAGGCTTGTGAGTCAAGGTAAGGACAGGGAAAGATCACTCAGCAACTACTGTCAAAGGCAAAACAGACTTGACCTGGGGAAATGAATTAAAGTTATTGCAAATCAAAATCAGAGTAGGGTAATGAGAAATAAAACCAAATCTTAAAACATCTCCCCTCCACTCCTCCCTTCTTCCTGGGCTAAACTTCACTACTGATTTTCCCTACCTCCTCCCCCCAAGTGGCACAGAGGGATGGGGAATGGAGGTTGTGGTCAGTTCATCACATGTCTCTGCTGTGCCTTCCTCCTCATGGAGAGAACTCCTCACACTCTTCCCCTGCTCCAGCGGGGGGTCCCTCCCATGGGAGACAGTCCTCCATGAACTTCTCCAATGTGAGTCCTTCCCACAGGCTGCAGTTCTTCATGAACTGCTCCAGCCTGGGTCCCTTCCATGGGGTGCCGTCCTTCAGGAACAGACTGCTCCAGTGTGGGTCCTCTGCAGGGTCACAAGTCCTGCCAGCAAACCTCTTCCAGTGTGGGCTTCACTCTCCATGGGGCCACAGGTCCTGTCAGGCAAAACTGCTTCTGCATGAGCTCTCCATGTGGTCACAGCTTCCTTTGGGTCATATCCACCTGCTCCGGTGTGTGGACATCCACAGGCTACAGGGGAACATTCTGCCTCACCATGTGTAGTGCATGAGAAGACTTTGTTACAGTGACCCAGGACAGTTTGCCTCCCTGATCTCAAGTATGTAGAGTCCCAAGCACATCATCTTGTTATGGTAAGCTGAGGTAGTTCACTTCCCCCTCACCTGCACTTACCCCTGCACAGGCACCAACATGAAGGCCAGCTGCAGTCTCAGAATTTGGACAACAGCACCTGCATTGCACCAGTGAGTTTGCTAATGAGTGAAACATTCATATGTTTCATATGCATAGTATGTTAATTAGCACAAGTTTTATTAACCATCCCTGTGGTGCTTTACCTTGAGTTTCACTCCCAAGTGGAACCCCACTGTGTCAGGTGCCCCTTTGATTAGTGTTGGTGTACTGGGATGGCCACCATGGTAACACAATGCTTTCCATGAAGCCAAAGGTTTCACTTGCTGAGTGCTGGGCCTCATCCCTGAGGGATCCGCACCTGGTTTTTGTGCGTAACACCATAGGGCTGCAGGGTAATCTCTGTTCCTGTGCCTGAATCACCTCCTCCCCCTCTTTCACTGACCTTGGTGTCCACAAGGTTGTTTCTCTCACATAGTATCACTCTTCTCTCCCAGCTGCTGTTAATGCAGCAGGTTTTTTCCCTTCATAAATAATGTTATCCCAGAGGTGCTACCACTGTTGCTGATGGGCTCAGCCTTGGCCAGTGGCAGGTCCAACTTTGAGCCGTTCTCCAACTAACTCTGTTCAACATGGGGAAAACTTTTGGCACCTTCTCACAGAAGCCACCCCTGTACCTGCTTCCAGTACCAAAACCTTGCTATGTAAACACAATACAATAGTGAAGGGAAGAAATGTTTTTGTTGTTGCTTTTCCCATCCCTGTATGGAACTTGTAGGCTTCTGGTGTCCCTTTGATAAACTTTTGAAGTATTTTCTTACATGGAGAAATGTGTGAGTACAACTTAAAATGATGTATGGTTCCAGCGGAACCTTTTATGAATTGAGAAGGATAGGAAGCGAAGGTTAAGACTTAATGGGCTCCTCTCAGGAGGAAAAAGAATTTCAGTATTGGTAGTCCTGGAGTTACTTCATTTAGCAAGTTTAGCAGTGATTCAGAGGATGGAATGAACAATGAGATCTTCCAAGTTTGAAGATGATACCGGGCTTTCTCAAGTAGTCCAGCACTGGTCCAGGGGCAGGGAGCTCAGTTTTGTGAGATCCTTCCATGGGCAAAAGGGGTAGATGAGCTCCAATATAGATTTATGCATTGTGCTATGGCCAGCAGGAGTAGGGAAGTGATTGTGTCCCCTGTACTCGGCACTGGTGAGGCTGTACCTTGAATACTGTGTTCAGTTTTGGGCCCCTCACTACAAGAAGGACGTTGAGGTGCTGGAGCGTGTCCAGAGAAGGGCAACGAAGCTGGTGAGGGGTCTGGAGCACAAGTCTTATGAGGAGCGGCTGAGGGAACTGGGGTTGTTCAGTCTGGAGAAGAGGAGGCTGAGGGGAGACCTTACCGCTCTCTACAACTACCTGAAAGGGGGTTGTGGCGACGAGGGTGTTGGCCTCTTCTCCCAAGTAACTAGTGATAGGACAAGAGGAAATGGCCTCAAGTTGCGCCAGGGGAGGTTTAGATTGGATATTAGGAAAAATTTCTTCACTGAGAGAGTGGTCAGGCATTGGAACAGGCTGCCCAGGGAGGTGGTGGAGTCGCCATCTCTGGAAGTGTTCAAGAAACATGTGGATGTGGCGCTTCAGGACATGGTCTAGGGGACATGGTGGTGCTGGATTAATGGTTGGACTTGATGATCTTGAAGGTCCTTTCCAACCTAGTGTTTCTGTGATTCTGTGAAATCATTCATCAAAGTATACATGGTACTGAACTTGTAGTTTGGCAACTCAATAGTTATAGCTTAGGGCAGAGATCCTTGACAATTCTTCCGAAATCATCACCACAGTGTGGAGCTGCATCAAAATACTAGGTAGGCATCTTATGGAAGGGTATTGCAAACAAGACAGGTGATGCTACTTTGCTCCTGTGGAAAACCAGTGACTTGCATTTTCAGTATTGAGCAGTTCTGATTTCTATGTCTGGAGTGTCTATGTCCACAGTGGAATTAAAAGAAGGGCAACTAATGTGATCAAGGAAATGGAGCCACAGCTTTGTGAGGAGAGACTAAAAATGCTGGGACTTTTCACTCCAGAGAAGAGAAGACAAAATCTTGAAAGGTGTGAATCAAGTGGATGCAGAACTAGTCTTCACCAAATTGTACGAATATGAGTTTAGGGGGCACTACTCCTTCACTTAAAACAGACTGACCAACTATATTGAGGTGGTATTTCACACAGCAGGTAGTGAGTTTGAGATTTATTGCCATAGGAGGCAGACAGTACCAGCAGGTTCAAAAGGGATTGTGAAGAGTCATTGACACTGCACCCATAAAAAGCAGTAAAAGAAGCAGGCAGGGCTATATCCTGGATGCACTGTTAGAAACGGGCCAGGCTCAGCCATCGTGCCTAAATGGCATGCCCTCTTGCCAGTTGGTACAGCAATGCACTTTAATGGTAAAAGACAATGAACTCTTCTCTTTGGGAGATAAATTACTTCAGGTGCTCTTATAAAAGTTTACAGAACTCCCCTGCAACATTGGTGTGTTGGTAGAATGCTTTTGCTTTGACAGTGGTACAGCTCCTGACAGGAAAAAAAAAAAAATCTCTTTTGCCCTGGCAGGTGCCTTTTGATAGCCAGGGCTGCGCTAGCTGTAAAGTGGTTGGGGAGAGCTGCAGGACAGGAGCTTGTGGTTCTTTTTGTGAAGAAAGGATGTTTTTTTGGAAGTGGTGTCACCTTCTGCTGGCTGCAATTTCAGGCTATCATAGCTGAAGGAAAGCTTTACTAAATGTCTCATAT